GCGGAGACTGGTGCCCACCCCGGCCGTGGCGAGGGCTGGGGACAGCAGTGCGAGGTGGTGTGTGAAAGCAGCCGGCATGGCCAGGGTGCCGGGCGAGACCGGGGGCTGAAGGACACATGTAGCCTCCTCAGGTGTGCCCTTGGCTGTGCCCGGCTGCCACCCCCCCGGGTACATGGGTCCTGCCCTCACAGCTCCTTTCCTGGGCACGCAGTGCCCTCCAGGAGCTGGCTGAGAAAAGACAGGGAATAAATAAACTCTGACTCGTACCAAAGCACATCTCTGTAAAGCCCAATCAGGAGAACTCGCAGGAGGAGTCTAGTGGCTGAACTGTGGCTGCACTTTGCTACCACAAAGGCTGGGCCAGAGAAGGGGACTCTGGAGCAGGTCCCATGGGCTGCCTTGCCGGCAAAAGGGCGAGGTGACTCCCACCCCTCCATCCTGTGCCCGGCCGCTCAGGGAGATGGCCCTGTGCGCCCCTGGGAGAGGAGAGGGAAGGGGAGAGATGGGGATGGCGGCACCCAGGGGTGTTGGTGATGACCACAGGTCCCCAGCCCTCCGCTCAGGCGGCCCCCAAGGGCGAAGGGCCGCCGGGGCCGATGCTCCTGCCGGTCGCCCCCGCATCCCCGGTACTGCGGCTCCGCATCCCCGGTCCTGCGGCTCCTCCCCGCGGCCGCCGGACGCAGCGGCGGCTGCCCGGGCAGGGGAACAAGGCGGGGACGAGCCCCTGCTCTCCCCGCGGTCCCGATCCCCCTCCCTGCCCTGCCCGGCCCCCGCGGTGGCTGACAGTGCTCCCCCGGGGACCCCTCCCTTGAGCCTCGGGAGCCCACCGGGACACACCAGAAACACCACCGGCGGCTCCCACCAGAGTCTTTCTCTACAATGGGCTCGGTCCTGCACAGCTCTCAGCATGAACAGTACATAAAAGCTACTCTGGACATCCAGCCGCAGCCATTCCTAGCCCTGACCACAGAGCACATTCCTCTGAGGCCACACAGGCAGGTACTGTCTCCTGTCTTGCCCTCTTAGCAAGGGCTTGGAAAGGTTGTGTGGGATGAGCAGGAAGGCTCAGGGAAAGGGGACAGTGCTGGAGGCAAACCCAGGGCTGCCCTGGCTCAGCCCTGCATCCTTTCACCTGCACTGACACTTGGCAGAGGGGACAGAGGGCACAGCGGGCACAGCAGCCAGGGCAGGGCACACTCAGGCTGCTCCTCAGGGCAGCTCCTTCAGCCTGGTCCTGACTTCAGTTCAGGCAGGGAAAGGGCTGTGAGGGGTGAGCTGTGCCAAGCAAGCAGTCCTGCCTGTCAGAGCCATGGTGTGGTACTGTCACCCCCTGCCCTGGAGGAAGTCCTCACCTGCCACTTCTCAGGCTCCCAGCTGCTTTCTCTCCATCTCTGGGCACAGTCTGGCTATACCAGGGAATTGCCTGAATACCAGGAGGGAATAGCTGGTGGGAAGTCATAGAATCATAGAATGGTAGAACTGCCTGGGTTGGAGGGGACCTTAAAGATCACCTGGTCCCAACTCCCCTGCCACAGGCAGGGGCAGCTTCCACTAGACCAGGTTGCTCAGAGCTCCATCCAGTCTGAACTGGAACACTTCCAGGCACGAGGCACCCACAGCTTCTCTGTTCCAGGAGTGGAACAGCCTCATCCAAACCCTGTGATGCTTCCAAGGCCAGAATCATCTCCCTCCAGATCCTGTTCACTGTCTGTTTTCAGCTGTCTTTTGAAATGGCCAAAGTAAGAGCCTGGAGGCCCCCAGATACTCCAGCCCACATTTTAAAAGCATGATTTCCAAGGACTTTGGACCCTCCACTGCCTCCTGGAATCATGGATAGGCAAGACCTGTGAGGAAAATAAACTAAAAGGTTCTGCCAAAAGAAACAGCAGGCACAGGCTCTGCAAACACAGAGAAAGCCTCCCAAAATAAGCAGCCATCCTGGCAGGACAGCGGACAAGAACAGTCCCCATATGCTGATTTTCTTCTGGGCATCCTATTGAAATCATGCCTGGTTACAACCCCCTGGAGCCTGAGGGATCAGTTCCAAGATCACAGGAAGAACTCAAAGGAAAGTACCGGGCTTGCTGCTGAGAGCCCAGGCTGAGAATTTAAAATGTAGTGACAGAAGGAAGCAATGTGGAAGGTTTCTGTTATGAAAGTGTTTTCTGATACACTCTTGAAAAGGCAAAACTGGTCATTGGCTTCAGCTCGTGAGTTCTATTCCTTCAGCTCCTGGTCTAGTTAGGCCCACTAAGGAATAACCAACCCCTCTGATCCCTGATCCCTTAGTGACTTCTCTCTGCCAAATGCTGTAACCAACCACATCCCTCAGGAGAACAGAATAAACCAAGCAGGCAGCCTCTTCCTGATAAAACCTAAAGGCAGGTCTCTGCTGGGGTGTGCATGTTCTCCCTGAGAAGAGATGCTGGGAAAGAGCATATCCCAGCTTGGCATTAGCAGGGAGGTGAATCCGAGCTGGGAATGCTTCCGGGTTTTATTTTTACCACTGCTGTGGGAAAGCCTGTAAAATCTCCAGAGCCATGGCAATGTGGATGCTCCCGTTTCCCCCAGGCTCGGCAGGGTTGACAGGGACAGTCACCTGCACAGGGACTGTGTTCCTGCTGCAAGCTCTTGGTGGCTGCAATTAACTTGTACTTAAGCCCAGACAACTACTGATTTTTGGGGTGGTTTTTTTGGTTTCTTTTCCTACAGTGTGTCTAACAGCCATCAGGATTTTTAAAACTTGAGCTGGCAACAGGTTCCCACAGTTGTAGGAACTCCTGGAGCAGGAGATCTGTGCTGGGTACCTTGCAGATGCTCTCAGCAGCTGCTGTTAAGGCAGGAGGAGGTGAGACCCGAGGTCTGCTGGATAGGAGCTGAGGGAAAATGTTCCACTGCTTCCCTTATAATGTGGCACTGTGCTCTGGGCTTGGGAGGTGGGTTTGGGACCTGCAGGGGGAGGTACCAGTGATACCTGGAGGTATGGTCTGGCTACAAGCCCTCATTGAGAACCCCAAACTTTTCCCCATTCATGCAAAAGAGCTCACCTTGTCCTGCTGCCCTGCCCTGCTGATGGACAGGCAGGGAGAGACCTCAGCTTTACAGAAGGTCCATCCTTCAGCCCTGGCACAAACGGTGCATGCTAAAAAATGGCTCTTGCCAACAGCAAATGGAGCCCAGTGCTGTTTGCAGAGGCCCAGCCCTGGGGACAGTGGACAGCAAGCACAGTGCAGTGACAGGCAGAGGGAGCCCCAGGCTAGAAAGCAAAGGGATGAGCAGGGAAAGGTGTCCAAGCCATCCAGGAGATGTGCATGTCCCTGGCACAGCAGTGGGAGCCGATGCTGCCATCTCTGGGTGGTCCCAGCCTTGTAGAGCTGTGATATCCCCCTCTTTTGAACACCTCTGCTCTTTAGGAAACTTATTAAAAGAAAACATCTCCTGGCTCCTCAGCAGCCCCCCCTGGCAGGGCCAACCAGCACACAAGGACTGGAGCCTGTTCCAACCCTGGGCCCCTGCACAAATCAGCTCCAGGGGAACGAGGCTGTTCAGAGATGGAAACTGGAACTGCAGATCAGAGGCTGGGATCTTGAAGGAAATATCAAGCAATGTTAACTGAAGAAAAATCTAGAGGCCTGGGAAAGTCAGACATAGGTAAATAAACAGTAACAATAACATCCTATAAAAACCTCTTGCACCAACAGAATCTTCTCCTTAAAGAGTCTGTTTTTCCAGAGATTGCAAGAGTTGCTCAGATAGCATTCACTCCCCATGAATACGAGTGTTCAGCCCCTTTGAAAAATCAGATCCTTCTAAAGAACCTTGCATTAATTCTCCAGCCCCTTCCATGAACAGCTGCCCTGCAGAGAAGGGCAGGATCACCCCGGGCTCCCCCAGAGGAAATAGGGGAATGCTCATGCTCTGCATGCTCAGAGACTGTGTCATGATGGGAACAAGCTGCTGGCACAGGGCAGAGATTGCCCTGCTCCAAAGCACAGCATCACTGCTTGATCTGAGCTGCAAAATTTACCATCCAGCAGCTCATCAGAGCAGGAATCACACTCAGCAGCTGGTGTTTACGTGCTCAGGGTGGGCTCCTATGTGCCCACAGGCAGTCACAGCTTTGGCCAAATGCTTGCAGGGGAAGTTGCAGGACATGAGGTTTGAGTGGCAAAGGCTGCAGTCAGCAAGCACTCATCTCTTTGCTATACAGATAGCCTGGAACTAACACCTAGCAGGGGGCAGGAGCCTGGCATCCTTTCTAGAAGGTACTTTGGGCCCCCCATCCCCATTTTTCAGCCACCTTGAACAGAGGTAGAACTGGTGCAGCTCTCTCCCCTTTGGACTGAACACAGCAGCCAGTTATCTGAGCAGACACTCTCAGTGTCTTCTCTCAGTGAAGTCTGTCATAGGAATTACAGATAACACACACTGTTATCCCATGAGGGAATGGCATGGGTTAACTGTGCTCAGCAGCACCGCACCTGACACAACAGGGGATACACTGAATGGTTCCATGTTGCAGCATTCAGATGGGAACATCAGTGCTGGAGCAACTGAAAACGTGGATCCATCAGCTAATGAAGCACAGTGGTCACTGGCACCAGACAGAGAGGGGATTTAACAGCTGACCATGCCTGAGTCCCCCAACCACCTGCACACCTAAGAGACAGCCCACCCACCTACCATCTGGTCTGCCAGAGCACATCATCTGAGCACAGCGATTGCTTGTGACAGAAACCAGCTGAAGTTTCACACTCCAGATCTCCTGAGTAGCTCCAAACACTTTGACATGACCTGGTGAGCATCCACATCAGTATTTTTCACCCAGGGCTTCAAGGTACGAGAAGTGAGATCTGGTGTTGAGCCTCCACAAGAGACAAGGAAACATATATTAAACAACAACAGACATAAATAACAAAAAATAACACTCACACAAGACAAAAAAAGGTGAGGAAAACCAAACCAGAAATAGGCAGCTACAAAGAAACAATGCTGTCACATTCAAATACAGGCCCATCTCTCCTTCATATATTGCTCCAGATCAGAGCTCTAACAATTCTCATCACAAGTCAGCCTCAGGACACAATGCACTTATCCCAAACAACAGATACACACACCTCAGCCTCTCCAGTATTTGGCTTTTTCACAGTCACATGGGCCAGAGTCTTTACAACAAGTTTTTTCAGGATGCTGAGCAGGCTTTCCTTTGGCAGTATGGTCATGAGTGGGTCTAGTATTTTTTTTGAGTTCAGGACTAAAATACTTTAGAGTGCTCTCAGCTTTGCTCTGCAGGCAGTTCTTGGTACAGAACAGATCACTACTGTCTTTAGTGAATTTAAAGGACTTTAGCCCAGTCCTTTAAACCTGCTAAAACAGGCAGAGATGGAAGCAAGACTACGCTCACATGCTCTGTTAAACAGCTCCCTCCTGCGGATACATGCTCTGTGCCTGAGAACTCCAGGCAGGATTCAGACGGTGAGGTTGCAACCCCCCAGTGAGCACAAACCACTTATTGTCCTCATGGCCACTCTCCTCAGAGTGCCCCAGGGCTGCCCACGTGTGTTCCCATCCAGCTGCTGGCTCCAGCGGTGCTCCCGAAGCAGCAGCCACTCTTAACAACAGGAAGACCCCGATTTGGAGCTGGAGTGCAGGTCAATGGTGTGGCCCAGCATGCAGTGCTCCAGCTGCTCCTCCACCGCCAGCACCTGCCGCACAGCTTCCTCAAAGGCCACTGTCACATTGGTGTCGTCCTTGGCACTAGTCTCCAGGTACGGATAGTTACCGTTCTCCATGCACCAGGCCCGGGCCTCCTCCGTGCTCACCTGTCTCTCCAGTTTGTCTATTTTGTTGCCCAGGACTACAAACGGGAAGTGTTCGGGGTCCTTCACGTCAGCGTAATAGACAAACTCCTTCTGCCAGTTACTGAGGTTCTCGAAGCTCTGCCGGTCGTCCACGCTGAAGGTCAGCAGGCAGCAATCTGCCCCCCGGTAAAAGGGCGTCCGCAGGCTCTTGAACCGCTCCTGTCCCGCCGTGTCCCAGATCTGGAGGGTCACAAAACGCCCGTCCACCTCCAGGTCCCGGTTCAGGAACTCCACCCCGATCGTGTGGAACGCCTGCGAGTCAAACTTGTTGGTGACGTAGCGGTTCATGAGGGAGCTCTTCCCAACTCCACCATCCCCCAGGAGAATGACCTTCAGGAGCAAGGACTTCCCACTCATTGCAGCAGGACGGAGGGGGGGGGTCCCAAGGCAATCTGTAGGGTTCAGAAATAGTACAAAACACCCATTTGACTTGTGGATTCTGCAGAAAGACACATACAGAAGAACAGAATATGGCATTTTCGTCCCCATCTCTGAACAAGTTTTGTATATAGGAGGTAATCTCCTATACAGGAGGTAATCTCTCTTTTTAGAGAGATCTTATTATTCTAATCTCTCTTACTAGAGAGATTACAGCTGGGGACTGGACGAGCTTTCAGGCACATGAGTCCTCCATCAGGTCCAAAATGGATTCAGTGGGTCACCACTGTAAGTGCAAGATAAGAACAATGTTGAGAATTTAGTAGTGATTATAATACTTTTAGTGAAAACTCTGCATCTAAGCTTGTCCAGTTTTTCTAAACAGATCATCACTAGTTAAACATCTCTCCTGGCCTGCATCCTCAGGCTATCACAGGAACAGCAAAATCACCAGGGGTGCCTATCACCAGGCCTTCCTTCCCACCGCACCATCACCAGCTAAATAATTTCTCCTATCTGACTTGCTCCACTGGAGGGATGTAACAAATGTGCAGGTCTGTATCAATGCAAGTGATTCGTCAGGCCAGCTCTGGATCACCCTGAGGATGCTGACTCACCAGCGGAGCTGCGCGTGATCCCACGGCTCAGAAGGGGTTTCCCAGGCACAGGGACCAGCTGCTCTGCTGCTCCTTGCTGGCAATGCTTGTCACAGCCCAGTTTGCTCGGGCTCAGGTGCAAGTTTACACTGCAACAACCCTGACACCACAGGTTCCTTAGTCAGCAGCCTCCAGGCCAAGTGCCAACGCATCCTCCCCCTCCCAGGGATGCTCTACAGGCCTGACGTGGAATAAGAGGTTTGTCTGGCTGTTGTACTGTACCTGCTCTGGAGATACAGCTGTCTCTGGGAGTGTCCAGGGAACACTTTCCTTCAGAGTAACAGTCACTAAAAAACAAACATCAGTCATCCAGGTTGCCAGAGCTGCCCTCAGTGTCTTTGTTTGTGATGCTGATCCAGGATGGAAGAACAATAGCAGAGCTCTAGGAAGCTGCAAGAGCAGTACTGATAGCTGGAGTAAAACAGGCAAGAACAAGGCACCAAAGAGTTTCCCTTGCCCTAAGTGAAATGGAACAGAGCCCACACCTGGACAGGGCAGAGTATCATGTGGACGCTGCACCCAAAATAAGAACAGAATAAACTGAAGGGGCTCTGACATGACTGCACAGGCTGTGCACTCTGTGTCTCCCCTCAATCCAAGGGACATTGATAGCTGTGATCTGCCTGGCCTGCCTACTCACACTCTGCAATCTGATTTAAGGATGGAACATGCACCTGAACCTGCTATCCAGGAGAGTGAGCCAGCTGGCAACAGCCTGGGAGCTTGCTTACACCTGCTACCAACATTCCCGGGAAGGGTGTGGATGAGCAGTGCTGCTTAGTGATGACACCTCCAACCCACCAAAGCAGGAGCCCAGAAGAGCACTCCTACTCTGTCCAGGCCAAACCCCACTCTCTGCACTAATTGTGGGGGGTCCTGTTCAACTTTGATTCTGCACCCCTTCCAAACAGTGTGGTAACCACAAAGCCAAAAGCAGAAACTTCTGCTTCTAGCGAATTTCTGCACTTTCTGCACAAAAGGCTCACCAATTTCACTTCCCTGCACAGAAACAGCCCAAAACCAAGCATAGCTGAGCTAACTTGATGGGACATCTGTGTAGCAGTGCACGGTCCAGCAGTCCTAAAGCAAAGAACAAAATGCAAATGTCACAAGAGACAAACAGGACGTGCAGCACAGCTCCCTGGGGCCGCTGGCTGGGGGGAACCCTCCCCTGGGCAGGTGAGCTGCTCAACACCCTTGCTCCTTTGCCAAACCTTGCTGAGGGCGGGCTGAAGATAGTCCTGGCACAGGCCATCAGCCCAGAGGAGAGTTTCTGTTTAGAGATGGTTTGTTAGCGAGTGACCCGTTTTAAGAATGACCAGCAGGTGATGTCGGGCCGCTCCGGAGCCCGCAGGTCAGCGGGGCGGTGGAAACCGTGACAGAGCCGTGACACCGACAGCACATCCTCATCTGCCCCGCTGTGAGACATTCCAGCGGCTGACCCCCACTGCAGCAGGGCAGCCAGCACCTGCGTGCAGGTAACAACACGGGGAACACCAGCAGGGCGGGCACGCAGGGCCCGACTCTCCCCCCTCCCCGCTCCCCAGGCCCCGGCTCGGCGGAGGCGAGACCCCCCCGGCGGGTCCCACGGGAGCGACCAGGGGAGGTGCCCGTGGAGCGGTGCCCGCGGGGGGG